CCCTAAACCCAATGGCAAGGATTCTTATAAGAAGAGGAGGCACAGAGCAAAAGGCATTATGAGGTGGAGGCAGAGACTGGAGGGATGAGTCTCCATGCCAGGACTGCCAGTGCCACCAGAAGTGAAGAGAGAGGCAGAGAATGGATTTTGCTTCAAACCCTGCAGAAGGCACCAGCCCTGCCAACACCTCGGCTTTGCACTATTGACCTCTAGTATTCTTGAGTAATTAGGTGTTTTCTTAAGCCAGCAAGTTTGTGGTGTTTTGTTACAGCAGCCACAAGAAACAAATACAGCAGCATGGAATTCCTATTCACCCTACAGAGGAGACGAGTCACAGCCCGGTCTGTGGTGAGATGACACTTAGGGTAACACCCTCCTGGCCACCTTCAGACACGTTCCATCCAGCGTTAAATGAGAAGGCAGAGAAAGCCAACATGCATTAAGCACTTACAGTATCCCAGGCACTACATAAAGTTATTTCAATTAATGTGACCCCTGATAACTGTAAATTATCATCCTCATTCTCTATTTGTGGAAACTGCGGCTCTTGAGAGGCCAGGTACTTGCACATGTCACACAGTGGCAGCAGAACCAGGATTTGAATCCAGGTCTGCTGATTCAAGGTCAATCCTTGGCCTTCCCTGGATGCCCCAGATCTGAAAGAACCTCAGTGGAAATAGCCTGGTGGCCCGTTCCAGGCCAAAGGCTGACACCCAGGAGTGAGGGGTGGCCAGATACTTTCAGAGCTAAGTCCAAGCCAGTCAAGATTAAAACTTGTTGGTATTTGTGGTTTCAATGACACAGAGATGGGGAATATTTTCCAGTTACAACTGCTGTTGAAGTAAAAACATCCCTCGGAAACAGATGGCTGAAGCATCTTTCACTAGAGGAAGCTTGACATAGTATGTACAGTTTTGTACAATCAGGAGGAATTCGATAAATTCCTACCCTGCCCTCCTCCCCTTCTAGAGCCCTGTTGAATGCTGTTCCTGATTTAGAGGGGCTGGGCCCATAAGGTTTCTGTTCTCACTGAGGCCCCAGGCTGTTCTCCAAAGGGAACCAGCCAGCCAGCACAGGCTCAGTTGGGGCCGATTTGTTTAATGAAGTTATAGCAAGGCCCAGAAACCATCATCCAGGCAGGAGGAAGGGCAGTGCTCTTGTCTCCCGGCACATTCCGGGGCCTGAACCCTGGTTCTAGCTGAGACTCAGATACCAGGTCCCTCATGGAGGAGTGAGAGTGGGCCCTCCTCGGGTTATAGTTGGAGTTGCTAGGCCTTGGTTGCTTCTTTTCTTTTTCTTTGGAAAAATTTTATTGCTCAGCATGTTGGGAATTTGGGGATCACTACTGTCAGGGTAGGACAGCTGCTGGTGGCCTCCAAGTTTGCGATGCCAGGCACTGATCTAGGTGGCTTGGCTCCTGGTCTCAAGTCCCTGCCACCTCTTGATAGAACCTTCTTCCCAGGACTGTTCTGCATCGTGATCGCTCTTATTTCTCAACCTATACACCTAGGAAGTCCTGTACCTGATCTGATCTTGAGGGAGAGTGCTAAATGGAGCAAGGTACTAGGAGGCCAGAGGGATGCCTCCTAGAAGTTTCCCATCACTTTCAAACCAGAGCAACTCTAGCACTTTGGGTCTGATCAGGAAGTCCAACTTCATAGGCTGCGGGCTGGCCCATCTCTGAGAGCAAATTTCCCAGCAAGTGTGGGTCATCCTTGCTGTGGGAGTGGAAAGGAGTTGTGGGTGCAGGATAGAGCACGTCCTGTCTGTCTCTGTTTGAGGTTTCTTGGCAAAGTCTGGAATGGTTCCAACTACATGGGAAGGTCCCGGGAGCCTCTTCTGGTGAGGTCAGGCTTCTCAAGGCTCAGCAAGGCTTGTCCCCCAGGGGTTGGGGGTGGCATCTGAGTGACTTGTTGTGCCCCAGAAAGAGAGGGCATAGTAAGACCCAGACCTGGACCTGTTCAGAGCACTTGTGTTTGCCTGGCTCTTTGGGAGTGAAAGACAGAAGGAATATGTCTCTCTCCTGTACCCCTCATCCTGGAGATGCCCTACTGTACAGGCAAAGAAATCAAGGCTCCCAGAGGTGAGGAACCAGCCACCCTGGTCCAGAGCAGAGGGTATAAGGGGGCTTGTTTAGCCACGGATGCATTCGTGGAGGGGATCCCTGGGCAGTGCTGAGTGTGAGGCAGGGGCATCTGCGCAGAGAGAGGATCACAGAGATCTGGAGCCCAGCAGCAGGCACGCTGCATGTGTGCAGTTTGGGTGCCTGTGTGGCCACGCATGTGCATGCCCGCACCTGGCCCCTCCTCCCCAGGTGGTACGGCTGGGGGACCCGTTCCCCCCGCAAAGAGGAGTCTGCAGACCTCAAGCCAAACCACAGCCTGGGCCGTGGGGGTTTGATCTTCCCTCTGCTGCCAGAGATCAGAGAGGTCTAAGTGGCAGAGATTTACAGGGCCCGAGGGAGAAATACCCTTCCAGTGAGAAGCTCACATGAAAGCTCTAGAGTAATGACTGAGGTTGTGGAGCGTGCCAATTATGCAACAATTAAAAGGGTTGACTATCATTTTTCTCCTTTCATTCTCCCAGCCACTCCCCCACTGCCCCCCTCCACATCTGGCTGCCCCTGCAGGTTCCTCAGCAACTCTATGGGCAATAGAGGATAAAGAACACACACTTTCCCCCCGTTTTTAATTGGAAATCAAAAGTTGGAAGAAAGGGTTACCCCTCAAGGGTGGGGAAGAAAGGAGTATTGTCGGATGGAGGCCCTCAGAGGAGGGGACGGGGAAGGAGAAAGGAGCCGAGGGCAGGTTCCTATACAGCTGCCAGGCTCGGGAAGAACTTCACACAGATCATCTCATTTAATGTACACGTCAGCCCTGTGTTACTAGTGGCAGATTAGAAAACCGAGACTCAGAGGCGAATGACTTGACTGAGATCACACAGCTGGTATTACTGGCATTGGATCCCAGGCTGTCTGGTGCCAAGGGCTTTAGCACCAGGCTATTCTGCCTTCTCACTGTAGAGTGGGAGAACCTTTTCTTGTCTCTTGGTCTTGGCTTTGCCATCTGTAAAGTGGGCACAGCCCTGGGCTGTGTGTGATAGAGCCAAGCACTTCTGTAGATAGATGAAAGGTGCAGCAGGCACTTAGCGGCAGGATTGCTCTGTAATGCAGCCAGCACCAGCTGAGCCAAATGCCCTGCACAGCAATCCAGTGGCTAATTGAGAAAGAATTAGGCAGCGTGCCCCAAAAGTGAAGAAACAGCTGCTCATTGGCTATTTAGAGGTGCCAAGGCATGCCCAGCGTATGTCCCCCCTCACCTGATTTCCCAGCAGAGCAAATGGCCCCTGCATTCCAGGGACGATGGCCTTGGACGCCCTGCAGCTCTGCCAGTGAATGGCAACCCCAAGCCCTGCCCTGGGAGCTCTGTGTCTCCTGAGGAAGCTACAGAGGCCTGGGCTTTTCTAGGAAATGACCATCTCTCACATTTAGGAGCCTCCCCAAACCTAGCACATAGTAGGCTCACACAATACACATTCATGTGCATTTTCCCATTAACACACCCTGGATCAGCCCCATTCATAACAGGGAGTCACCCTGGGGAAACCATGGTGCCTCCCTGGATATTAGCACTCTCCTATGGTACTGGGTGAGCCAGCCTGTCCAGCTTTGACTACCCAGATGTCTATGACAGCTAGGGAGGGGGACAGGTGACCTGGTGTCCAGGTCACGCACAGCAGCAGGAAGAGGTTCCAATGTCCAGGCAGGGCATGTCAGCCACACCTTACTTCTCAGCACTCAGTTGGCTAGAGGGTGAGGATGCCAGAGAGCTGGGGCTAGATCTGCTCTTTCTCCTGCTACAGGCTGAGCCCCAAAAAGCAGCCATGCTCCTGGGAATCCCCCCCACAGGAAAGAGGAGCAGAGCTTTGGTCTCAGCCCCCGACCCACTTTCCCTGCACAACCACAAATGCTGACAGCCAAGGCCTCTCAGGATAGGCTTTGCCAAATGGTTGCTTCCAGTCTCCCAGCATTTTCTCCCCTGCTGCTCTGGTTCTTGAAAGCCCCTCAGCTTAGGAGTGATGCTCTGGATCGTGTGTGGAAGGGGGCTTGGCTATGAGTGGAGGGGAGATGTACAGGGGACAGGAGGAACTGCAACCATCCCCTGATGCTGCAAGCCCTCCCCCACACTCAGTGGCTCTGGCTCCGTGATCTGGGGGTCCTTCTCTCCCTAGCGCCCCCCTTCCAGGCCTGCACCAGGTGGCAGTGGCAGCCAGCTCCCCCTTGGGAGTTGAGGGACCCCAGCTGGCATGGCCAGCCTCACTTCCAGTGCCTGGCCAATTGTTTGTTCAGTTGGGGCCCACTCAGCCCACTCTTTGGGGGCTGGCGGGACTCCAGAGGAAGTGTCGGGAGGGCTTGGGTGCATTCTGACCTTAACTGAATTCCAGGATGATGATGTGTGAATAATATGGCTTTTTAAGAGTCAACAGCTTGGGTGCTTTTTATAGTTAGGCCGGAGCAATGAGTGGGCCATCTCCCCATTAATCATTTAGCTGGTTAGATCAGTTGGCAAACAATACTGACATTACTCTGTGATATGACTCTCCCTTCTGTCAGCAGCCACCCTTAAACAGACGTCAAAGCTGCCATCAAGTCAGCCCCAGCCCCACCCCCAAGCCTTCTAGTCCCCAGGCTTAATATTCTAATTCCTCCCGCTTCTCCTTGCAGTTCTCTTTCTATGCCTTTTTTGGTGGTCTCTGTTGGCAGGGACCCTGGGTTCCCACATTCTGGGCCACACTGACCTCCCACAGAACACCTCTGCCCACCCACCTGCAGGAGGAAGGGATCCATTCCGAGTGACTTTCCAGGGAAGGTAGCCCAGGGCCTGATCCCAGCTCCCAGTCCTGCTGGCCCTTCCCAAGCTCATGTTCACTCCAGGATTTGAGATCTCACTGCCAGGCAGGACTGAACTTGAGCAAGACCCCCCACACACACACACACTCACAGTGTCTCCAGATTGCGCAGCCCCTCGAAGCTGTGGGTCCCCAGGTGCTGGATGCGGTTGTTATGCAGATGCCTGAGTGGGAAGGAGAGACAGTCAGAGTGAGCTCCAGTGGGCTGGGCCCAAGGCAGCTGAGTGCACGCGGCAGGGCAAGTGGCAGAGTGGAGGCTGAAGCATGGATAGAATGACCCCTTTGTCTCCAGGGACAAACAGAATGGCTGAGACAGATTTCTGAAACCAACATTGCCAGGGCTGCATTGACCACAGGCTACACCATTTTGATTTCCTATTGAAGAAGGGAGAAGGGAGCCTGGGCCAAGGCAAAAGCAAGCACCAGGAGGCAGACTGATTCACAGGTTCTTCTGTGATGTCCGAGGTTGTTTTCATGGCTCTGCTCCCTAGGACCCAGCCGGTCTGACGAAGTGGCCAGACGTACTTAGGGGAGCCAACAGTAAACCGCTGCAGACAACATATAATTAAAGGCTAAGCTTTCTGTAGCCAACGGAGAGAGCTGTGGACAAGCTGAGAGAAGAGGCAGAGGGTGCAGCCAGAGGAACCAGGGAAGGCTTCTCGGAGGTGGTGATCTACAGCAGGGCCTTGAGGGGTAGATGAAGTGCACGGCAGAGGGAGGGCACCCCAGGCAGAGGGAAGAGCGCCCAGAGGTGGGGAGCTGGGAAGGAGCGAGGCAGGCAGGGAAGGGCTTGGCCAGAGCAGGTGTGGGAGAAGAATGAGATCAGTTTGGAAGAGATGTCTGGGAAAAGTAGCTAACTGAAAGCAAGTGACGAGGTTTTCTTCTCCCAACTCCTGATGAAAAAACCCCAGCAAAAACCAGACCCAAATATCACAAACCACAAGGCCTCCCCAAAAGGATGAAGCCGACTACAGATACACCACAAAAATTGCTGGCCAGGAGAACATTCTGGACCTCACCAACCTCCTTCTCCCAGAAAATGAACTTGTGAAAAAACAAAATCGGAGGTTCTCTCCTAAGTCTCCCATATCCAAAGAGGTGACCTTTGGGTATTCTTATTTTTCCTCCCTACTTCTGGCGTCCAATAGGAGCAGGTCAAATAGAGAGTTAAATAAAGGCTCCAGACTCCTCAAAGAATGGGGGAAATGGCTTGAAGCCAAGAGTATTCACGGGCAAGGGAGCAAACTCACCCTTTTAATACACCTGAGCAGAGGAAGCAGAGCGCAAGTAGCCTAATATAGACTGTGCACTGCCTCAGAGTACCCCTCCGGTCGCCATCCCACCAGGGTACGGAAAGGGGATGGACCCTAAGTCACCCTCGGTACTTAACCCACACACTACAGCATGGTGGGGACAACCAGAGGAGCCTGAAGACAGCGCAGCTAGAACAAGGACACAGAGGGCCAGGGGTTTGGCTCAGTGGTTCCTCCGCCTGCCTTGTAAGCGCAGCATCCTGAGTTCAATCCCCAGTACCAAAAAACAAACAAACAAGGACACAGCTCTCCCACCACAGCCAGAAAAAGAGATTACAGGGAAACTGTGAAAACCCACAACTGGGCAGCAGAGGGAGATGAAGGGGGTGGGGGGGCGACAGACTGGCAAATTCTAAGCCCAGAGGAAAACATAGCTTATGAATGAGGAGCAGAAGGAAATTGATCAGAAGTGCCTTCTGCTACAAAGCAATCCAAACATGATTTCAAAGACAAAGCTTTTTAAATGAAAGAAAAATCTCTTTGTAGATTAAGAAAGCAAACTAAGGGCCAAAAGTTTAAAAACTAGTCGGGCTGGGGATTTAGCTCAGTGGTTCCACCACCTGCCTTGAAAGTGCAAGGTCCCGAGTTCGATCCCCAGTACCAAAAAAAAAAAGAGGTAGAAACTAGTCAATAAATTTGAAAAAAGGAAGATTGTAGACACTGTTGAAAGTTGACCTGATTTCGGGGAGAGGAGCTGAGATGATCACAGTGAACATAGAGGAATGAGACAAAGGCTAAAACAGAGGCTGCTTGGTGTGAAGGACATAAAAGCAGCTGAATGGGGGTGATGGATGTCACTGAGGGAGAGAATCAAACAATAAGACTGAAGATATGATCAGAGACAATACAAAAAAATTCTCTCGGAGCAAGAAAGAACAGAACCTGCAGTTCAAAAGCATATGTCATTCTAGGAAAATTGGATGCAGAAATATTCTATATTGTGACATACTAGGGTTGTGCTATTAAAGTTCAAGAATTTCAAAATACCTTCAGGCAGAAAAAGGAAATCACTTACAAGGGGTAAAACTCAGGCTGGCCTCCAAGAGGTCACTCAGATATAAAGGCAGCAGGTGAAGCGGCTCTAGCATGGATGGGAGGGATGGGATTCTTGTGAGTGTTGGGATTTTTTTTTTCTGGTACCAGGGTTAGAACTCAGGACCTTGTGCTTGCTCAGCAGCCATGGTACCACTGAGCTAAATCCCCAGCCCTTTTTTTTTTTATTTTTGGGGGAATGAAAAAAAAATTTTTTTGTTTGTTTGGAGTGTTGAGATTTAAAGGCCTCATCTGTCTTTCTCGTCGCTACCTGCTCCATCCGGGGAAGGACCCTTGCCTCCAGGGGGCTTCTCATGTACGGCAGTGGGGAAACACAGCCCCTTGTAAAATGTTCTCCCTTACCAAGGGGTTTTTGCTTTCCCCATTTCCTTCATACCTCTGACCTAACTCTTCCTACTTGCTGTTGAACTCCTGTCTTCATTTTCTACCCCTCGCCCTTCCCCATCACTTCCGGTCCAGATCATCTCAGCATTGTAGACATCCAGTGCCAGGCCTCCAAGTCCCTCCTACAAACCACTCCTTCAGCCCTGGTGTCCTGGGCACCTCCAGTAGCCAAGCATGGGAGAGGTGATGGGACAGGCTGATCCAGAGACCAACTGCACACAGGTCACCACTGCCGCCAGTGCAGTGCTGCCTAGTGGCGCCGTCAGTGCGACAGGCATAGTGGGAAAGAGTTCCACACACATCAGAGAGGGTTCCACATACATGGGGCTTGGCTGGAGAAAGCAACTCCCCCACCAGGCTTGCCTGCTCATAGCTCCAGAGAGGCTTCGGTCCACCCCCTTGGTTTTCACCAAGCTTCCTTCTCACTTCCTGTTACTCCCTGTCTTCCTTCTCTGCCTCCTGGGCCTTCCTACAGCTCTCCCACATCCCAGACGGTGTCCCCCAGGCTCCTCTCCCTTTCGAGGTCACCCCGCCTTCTCCATGCCATGAGTGAAGGACAAAGGGGTGACGTTTCACCCTATGCAAAGGGCCCAGTTCTGCTTCAGCTTTGCTCTTGTACCAGTGCATTTTGTTTTTCCCTTACTCCCTTGTCCCTCCTTATGCCTGGGGGGTCCCATATCTCCTAGGTATCTAATAGGCCTGGCTCCCAAGCCAGCTCCCTGCCTCCCAACCGTACCTTTAAGTCACCCATGATTCCTTTTCTCCTTGGTCTTCTACTCTCTGAAAACCTCTAACTCATATTAATTCTTCCTTCCAAACAACGCTCTCAGTCATGTCTTCTTGTCCATTCTTTCTGCCACCTCCCTAAACTGAACTTTGATAGACAGGAGCCTTTGAACTAACCTTCTCTGGTCTCTTCCCATTCCCATGCATCCTTCACATTCATCTTAAAAGGCCCTCTTTTAACCCTGCTTGAAAACCCCCACTCCCCACCCCAAAGACAAAAGCCAAACTCCCTGCTCTGACATTATGAGTCCCTGCCTTGTCAGCTTCTTCTCCAACTCCCTGCCTGGGGACCCTCAGCTTCAGCTCGACTGGCTTATTCACCGACAAGCAAATGCCCCTGGCTGCCCTTCCAGGATCTTTAATGCTTTTATTCTCTGCGCTTGTCTAACTCCACTCTCTTTGCAGGCCCAACCACAGCCCCACCTGCCCGTGAAGCCTCCTCACTCGCCCATCTGTGGTTGCTTCAACCTCACTGCCCCTCCACGGTATAGTGAAGCTCTCCTTTACCTGGCTACATTAGCCCAAGTTGCATAACGTCCTGAGTAAACTTTTGCTATTTTCGCTCTGCTATTTCAGCGAGTCTATAACCCATAAAGGGCAGCAGCTCTGTCCCATCCTTCTGTGACCTTCAGTGTTCACGTAGGCCTCTCTAAGTGCTGCTCCTGCCCACGTGTCTGGGACCCATCACGAAGTTCTCATTTTCCCACTGTCTTGTCCCTCACAGAGAACTGACCCCTTTCCCTCATGGCATCACAGGGATATCCCAAAACTAAAGCTAACCACCTTGTTCTGGTGACCTTCCACAGATAGCTTGCCGACTCCCAGAAGAGTGTCCTGATCGACGAAAGTGCTCTCTCTATAAGGACATTCCTCTTGGTTCTCTGATCTCCCAGGACTGAGAATTGGACAAACAAATTGGTGCCTGCCTTTTCATCTCTTAAATGGAACTAAGCGCTGTCTGTTCCCTGGCTTGGAAAACCGCAGCAGATTCCCAAGAGCAAGGAAGGCAGTGTTCCCATTTAGCAGAGTCACTAACACACATGTTTCTGAGCCATGTTCCTGCAATAATTAGCGTGTAACCCAGAGCAATTACACATGACCTCCAAGCCCTTAGTAATTACCCTATGAACTTACCAATCATTCATAGCAATTAGCTGGAAGCTAATTTGCACTGTAAAGTTCCCACTGGGTAGGCAGAGTTAACCCCAGTCCCCAATTCCTGCCAGGGATGCTTTCTCCCAAGTAATTATCCTGATGGGGCTTTGCTGTCTAATTACAGGTGATGGCTTTTCTCTGCTTCTCAAGGCCTGGGAGACAAGGCAAATTTATCCTATCCCTGTGCCAGAGCATATGAATATATCATTTGACTGTCAAATATGGTGGAAATTATTTAAGACACTCTTGATTTATATTCTAATTAGCATGATATGGTTATGACATTTGCATAGTGAGAAAACAATAGCTTACTTCCTGTTTTTTGATTATAGTATTTTGGCCTTTTGGTGACCCTCGGGGTATTTCTGCAAATCTAATGTCATCTGGCTTCATGATAATCCTATGGGGGTCAACAGAGGATGTTCATCCTCATTCTCCTCCAAAGGACAAACTGAGAGCAGAAGATTCAGCAGTGTGCAGAGAAGAGCAAAGCTGGCCAGGCTTCTGATCCAACTTGAGAAAGCCCCCAAGCAGGGCCCAGCCAGGGATGAGGTGGGAGTGGGACTTACAGCACCACAAGGCTGGTGAGGTTCTGGAAGGCGAAGTCAGGGATGTGGCTGATGCGGTTGAGGGCCAGGGTCATGGCCTGCAGGGCAGGAAGGTTGTTGAGGGCTCTGACAGGGATCTCGGTGAGTGCATTGTCATCCAGCCAGAGGTGACGGAGGGAAGACAGCCCCTCAAAGCTCCTCTCCGGGACCAGGGAGATGAGGTTGGCATCTAGGCGCCTGGTGGAAGGGAGGATGGAGAGTGATCAATCCACGGAAAGATGCAGATCAAGCGCTGGGCTGGGCTGGGTCACCCAGACCCCCAACGTGACCTCTGACTCACCCTGGGACTACAGTTGTGACTTGGCCACCATGTATCGCATCTGCTACCTGTTCAAGTTGCCGTATTTAGCTTCCATTCCAACCCACAATTTTTTGGCAGTGCTAGGGATGGAACCCTCACCTTCATGCATGCTGAGCAAGCGCTCTGCCACTTGAGCTACATACCCGGCACTCTGCTCACAATTCTTGATCCTTTGTGCCACACATTTCTTTTTTTGTTTTTGTTTTTGTTTTTGTTTTGGTACTGGGGATCGAACTTGGGACCTTCTGCTTGCAAGGCAGGTGGCAGAACCACTGAGCTAAATCCCGGCCCTATGCCGCACATTTCTATTTGTGACATTTATGTAATGTCATTTGGCTTCATTCTTCTCCTCAGATCCAAGGCTGAACCCACAGCCCATGTGTGGACAACGAATATCTCTCCCAAACCCCTAGGCCTCTAAATCTGTGTCATAGCACCTCTGCTCTGAGTATGACATTATTTTTCCCAACTCTGTCCATTTAAGGGCATATAATGGAGATGTCCCCAGCATTGGTAGAAAGTTCCTCCCTCTGGACCTAACCAAAGAAAAATGACTCCCCAAGGATGTATGCCATTCTCTGCCACCCACTTCTACAACTACCTGTTTCTTGTCTCATCCTGAAGCCTGAAATTTGGTGGGGCTCCTGCTAAAGTCCTGGGGCTCCTTGCTAAGTTAATGACTTGTGGGAGATCTCAGCATGCCACAGTTGAAACCCTTGCCTTGCTGCTTCTTACCATAAGTAAACAGATGGTAGATGATCCTGTCTATGCCCAAGAGGCACCTGGGTAACCAAGGACTTCTGAGGTGAGCCTTGGAAGATCTTGGTAGACCAGAAAAACAAGGAGACTGCTCATCTTAGCTTTTTGCAGATTTGTGCACGCCGTGATGCCTTTTATTAAGCTACTGTCTTTGCCTCCTCGTCTGAGACTTAGGCTGAAAACCTATCACCCTATGTACCTGGCCCCTTAAGGCCCAAATAAGCTGATCTGTAACCATTTCATGGATCTCTTCCTGGATTTCACTATCTTGGAGGAGTCTTATCCCTGAGCCATGGTTTTCCCACACAGGCATGGAAACTCCAGTCCTCATCCACAAAGGCCCTAAGGCCCCATAAACCCAGGAATCTCAAGGAGGAAGCACTCAGAGAGAACACTCTCAGCTAGCCCCAGAGGCAGCGTTGGAGAAATGCCAGCCGCTAAGAAGACAGCATCCTTCCTCTTCCTCATGGAGCTGAAGTCCAGTGCTAAGGCCAGACTGACAGTCACAGCACAGCACTACGACACCTGGTCCAGGGCACTGGGGAAAGCCTCAGGAGAAAGTGATGCTTACATGGAGATCTGGTGGCCAAGTAGGATCAGTCAGGGGAGGTGGCAGGGAACAGCATGTGGGAAACTGAGAGCAGCATTGTGGGGAACCTTAAACTGGCAGGTAAAGCTTCCAGAAGGAGGAATGTTGGAAAGAAGAGAGAAGGGTGCAGCAAAGTTTGCAGGGCTTTATAAGCAATGTCACATAACAGGAAACCTGGAGCTAGGTTTTAAGCAAAGGAAGGACATGGCTAAGTTTCTATGTTAGAAAGACCTTGCCCACCAGGAGACCACATAGTTACTGGAGAAGGGTGATATTGGAGGCAGAAAATTAGCAAAGATAGTTGCTAAAAGGGACAGTTATAGCTCCATTTGCTCTAGAAACTTGAAAAGTAAATTTGACCACCATAGTGTCCAGTCCTCAAAATGCCCTAATGGCAATCAATCCCTTTGGCTTTTGATGCAACCCTAGGATCCATATTACTGGCCCAGCAGGCTCCTTGGCACGGTATAGTTATCTGGAGATCCTGGGGGTCTTTTAGCATCCCATGAATTATGCCTTTTTCCTGCTCCTTTCCTGCACAAGTCCTCCCTCACCTCAGCCTCACTCCCAGTGTGCCTGGGCTCCTACCAGCCAGAAACTATGGATAGCATGTCAGTGTCATCTTGCTCCTATTTCCTGCCTTTCCAGAAAACTGAGCCTGAAAAATGACAACCATGCACACAGGAAACAAAGACACTTCCTGGCCTGACATCATATGGCTCAGCCAGCCACAGGCATGGAGTCTTCTCAAAAGAGCCCTGCTCCCTTAATGTTTGAATCACCAGACCCTCAGAGGGCAGAGCTGCCCTGAGCCCACCTTGGTGGAGCAAAGCTCATGGCGAGTGACTTCCTGAGCATTCACTTACTATGTTCTAAGAGGGATCCCATGGATCAAGTCATTTATTTTTGGAAAGATAATAATAATTTAATATTATAATTAATACTAATTTAATAATAATAATAATTATTATTATTATTCAGTACCGGGGATTGAACTCAGGACCTTGTGCTTGCGAGGCAGGTGGCAGAAACACTGAGCTAAATCTTTGGCCCTCAAGTCATTTATTTTTACAATCAGTGAGGTTGACATTTTGCAAATGAGAAAAATGAGGTATAGAGAGGTTAAGTAACTGGCCCAAGGTCAAACATCTGGTAAACAATAGAGCTGGAATTCAAACCCAGATATTCCAGCTCCAAGTAAGCATCCATAGCCATTACGCCACACACTGGTACCCTCCACAAAGTCACTGTTTATACGCCTTGCTGATTTCTACACCAACCTGTAATGCTCCCAGAATACCTCACCTCCACCCCCATCAACAGTCTCTGGCATTTACATAGCTGCCTGACCACCCCATTGAGGAGGCCTATGGTGGCATCACTTAGCTTGGGCACTCTGGCCCCATCATTCCACCCTGAGCCATGACATTAGGAGTAGCAGTGGACTTGTCAGATCTTCCTCTAGGTCTTTCTTTGCTCCACAACATGTGGTACATGGGCCTGAACATCCCCTGGGAATTTGTTAGAAATACAGAATCTTAGGCCCCACTCCAGACTTGCTAAATCAGAACCTGGATTTTAATGATTCCCAGTTGGCTCATTGATTCATAAGCACATTTGTGTGTTAACGCTCTGAGTCTGGTCTTCCAGAACCTCTGATGTTCTCCTCTAATGACCGTAAGTAGACAAGAGAGGAGAACTTGATGCTGTTTCCTCCTGCAGTTAGTGCTCAGCCGGCTGTGTTCTTAGGTTTGATCATCAATTATTCCAGAAGATGAGGACTCTACTTCACCCTCCTGGTTATGCTAATGACAACAGCACCTAGCACAATGCATAGGTGACAGATGACACTTGGTAAGCGTTTTTTGAACAAATGAGTAAATGAATGTCCTCTAAATCCCCTACCTTCAAGCCCTAAAATGATGGCCCAGCCAGGCAAATCAGGAAGGTGGAGGAGACCATCCCATCACCTCAAGGGCTCTCCTCCCCATTCCCAGCAGATGCCCAAACCATCCTCCTGATCCTGGCATGCCTTCTCAGTGTGGGCAGCATCTTGTTCCCAGCTTTGCCTGGGACCATCAATAGATACCTAATCCCTGGGTCCTGTTTAGGACCCCACAAAAGTTGCTTTTATGATGGTCTTTTTTTTGGTACCGGGGATCTAACTCGGGACCTTGCGCTTACGAGGCAGGCGGCAGAACCACTGAGCTAAATCCCTAGCCCTATGATGGTCTTCTTAAGGGACAGTGAAACATAGACAAGGAGAAGTAGGAATAATGAGAACTAAGAGAAAGGGTAGTATGGATAGAGAAAGGGGTGCAGATTCCAGACATCCTTACAAGGTCAAATTGGTAAGGCCAAGTAACCCCCTGGATGTGGGTGGGTTGTCCTCTACAACTGCCCACCTAGTGGGTAAATTCAAAGAACCATGAAGCTTGTCTCCGAAAGGAGGGTGATTCTGCCTTCTCTGAAGCCCTGGACCAGCAGGAACTCTATAGTGACAACCATGACTCCAACAATAGTCATCATTTCCAACTATCGACGAGATGTCACATGACAGATAGATATAGTGCCAGATACGAGCAGGTGACCTGTGTCCTCACAACACCATGTGTTATCTCTGATTCGCCCCATTTTACATAGCAACTAAGCTGCCCAAGGTCACACAAAGAGTGAGCCAAAGAGCTGAGATTTGAACCAGGTTCTCTGATACCAAAATACATGTGCTTCCGCAGGGTGCGATGCTGGTGCTGAGTTGTATCAAGGGGATGAGAATCTGCTCTGTGTGAGAGGCCTGGGAAATAGGCCAGAGGCTGAGCTGAACCAAGCAGATGGCTCTGTGGATGTACAGTGGGAGAGAGCGAGAAGGGAGGCAGGAAATGGGACAGGGCAGGGCAAGGGGAAACAACCTTTTATTCTGTGAGATATTTGGAGAGTCGCTTCTTCCTTGTGAATGTGTGTGCAAGCACACACGCATGCTGGCACATGCATGGCACACTCACAAGTGGGTCCCCCCAAAGACACAGTATCGGTCTGGGGGTCTGGGGACCTTGGGGAGGAACCGGGCCCCAACATTTCCAGGTCCTGGTGGTTTTGGTGGTAAGGACAAAACACCTGCACAGAGGTGGACTCCCAAGGAACCCAGGGCGAATGGAGGAGGCATTAGGAGGAGGGAAGGAGCAATACTGACTTCTGCTCCCTCCCCTCTTCTTGGACACTGCCTCCTCCTCTCCAGGATCTTCTGACTCTTGGGGACTCCTAAGGTTCAGCATCTTTGCTACAGAAAACTCTGGCTTCTGGCAGGGTGAGGTCCTCACTAAAGAAAACCAGGCCCCTTGAGCCAGGGTTCAGGCTCCCTGGAGTTTCCAGTCTCTTGAGGTAGGTGGGCCTGAGGCTCCCCTGCTGTCTAGAGGTAGAGGGGGCCAAAGGAGCCCCTGAACAGCCAACAGCATCCGCCCTTTGGGAACCCAGACCTTTCTGAGCAGCTCCTTTGGCAAGTGGGAGAGCCGATCCTCACTCGGGTTTGGC